AGGCCATCCCATTTGTGGTATATTCTTGTCAGAGTGGTGCTAGGTAACCAGAACAGTCACCCATGATAGACAGGTTTCAGCAGAGCTTCCAGACTAAGACAGACTTGGAAGAAAGAAAGAGTCATCTACTTCTCAAAGAATTGGCCATTGAAAACCTTATGAATACCAGTGAAACACTGTCTGATATATTACTGGAAAACTTGATGAATAGCCCTGAAACACTGTGCAATATAATGCCAGAAGAAGAGACCCTCAGGATGGAAGGCACTCAAAATACAACTGGGGAAGAGTTGCCTCCTCAGAGTAGAGTTGACCTTAATGACACGGATGGAATAAAGCTTTTAGGACCTCCATGTGCTGATGTGGCACGACTCAAAATGGGAAGAAACAGTTGCAAACATTCATTAATAATTTGAACATGGAATGGATGCAGTATGAATCTAGGAAAATCGGAAGTTATCAAAAATTAAATGGAACACAAAAAGATCGATATCCTAGGGACTCATGAGCTAAAATGGACTGGTTTTGGTCATTTTGAATTAGACAACCATATGATCTACTATGCTGGGAATGACAAACTGAAGAGGTCATCGTCACAAAGAATGATTCAAGATCTATCCTGAGGTACAATTCTGTCAGTAATATGATAATATCCATATGCCTACACAGAAGACGAGTTAATACCACTATTATTCAAATTTACCCACCAACCACCAAAGCCAGAGATGAGGAAATTGAAGATTTTTACCAACTTTATCAGTCTGAAATTGACCAAACATGCAATCAAGATGTATCAATTATTACTGGTAAATGGAATGCAAAAGTTGGAAACAAAGAAGAATCACCAGTAATTGGAAAATATGGTCTTGATGACAGAAATGATGCAGGAGATCACATGACAGAATTTTGCAAGATCAACGACTTATTCATTGCGAATACCTTTTTCAACAACATAAATAGCACCTATACACATGGATGTCACTAGATGGAATACATAGGAATCAGAACGACTGCATCTGTGGAAAGAAGCAATGGAGAAACTCAGTATTGTCAGCCAAAAAAAGACCAAGAACTGACTGGAACAGACCATCAACTGCTCATATGCAAGTTCAAGTTGAAGTTGAAGCCAATTAAACCAAATCCATGAGAGCCAAAATATGACCTTGATTATATCCTTCCTGAATTTAGGGATCATCCAAAACCAGATTTGATGCATTTAACACCAGTGACTGAAAACCAGAGGAATTATAGGATGATATCAAGAACATCATACATGAAAAAAATCAAATGGTCATTAAAAAGACATGAAAGGAAGAAAAAACCAAAATGGATGTCAGAAAAGACTCTAAAACTGGCTCTTGAATAGAGCAGCTAAAGCAAATGGGAGAAATGACAAGATAAAAGAGATGAACAGAAGATTTCAAAGAGCAGGTCGTGAAGTGAAAGTCAATTATTATAATGAAATGTACAAACATCTGGAGTTAGAAAACCAAAAGGGAAGAACACACTTGGCATTTCTCAAGCTGAAAGAACTGAAGAAAAAATTCAATCCTCAAGTTAAAGTACTGAAAAACGTTACAGCAAAATATTGAATAATGCAGGAAACATCAAAAGGAAATGGAAAGAATACACAGTTATTGTACCAAAACAGAACTGGCCAAAGTTCAACCATTTCAGGAAGTGGCATATAATCAGGAACAAT